GTGTTATCTGACAAAGGCTTCTGTGCCAGGACTTTGTATGTGTGGAAAGAGCAAGGAGTAGGTCCGAGTCATCCATGTTTTCACGGAGTTAGTTTTCCAGTTAAGAAATAGATAAGTATTAGGGAAATGAATATACCTTTTAAAAAAGTATAGTATATAAATAATATGATAAATAATGATGTGTAGTAAAGAAAATAAAACAAATAAATATAAGAATTTATTTATGGCACAGGAAAGGGTGTGGATTGTACGTCATTCTTTTACAACATGGGAGACCCTTTATTTCCAAAATGTCTGCTTAAAAAACAATAGATTAAAATTCATGTTTTCTATATATAACATTGCTACTTTATCTTACTCAGGGTTCCTAAAGCAAAGACAACCAGTTTTTAAAATTCCCTTTTCCTGCTGACTATAAAATGTTCATTTATAATAACATTTATTAAAATAAACTGATAGATATATATTTGTATGTTTTGTGATGAAATTTTATAGGAATATTCAATCCATAAGAAAGTGAGGTATTGAACCAATGCAGAGACACATACCCCCGACTGACAATAAATATATTTCAACTGATTATACTGAGATAAAATTTTGTTTTTGGAACAAAGTGTTGAATTCTAGAATCATCTGATCTGTTATACAAAAGGTATCTGTAGTTATTGGTGTAATGAGATGACACCATTGTGTATTTGGTTGGTGCTGATAGCAGCCTTGAGCCACCAAGAGACATTTATTTTTCAAAAGATCATAGTTCATGCTTCAGACAGGTTTCCCTAGAACTTAGTATCCATGTGACCAAAGCTTCACCTGTCCTCAGTCTTGTTGTAAACAGGACTCTTACTATCCCTGCTGTAAAGCAATTGAATGGATGCTTTAAAAACAAAAACAAAAAACCTACTTCCAACACCATTAAAGACTTAGCTTCCTAGGTGATCTAGGACTACTGTCTCCTGGGCTTTTAGAATAAACTCTAGCTTAGGTTAGGCCTCAGTTTCTTCTCAGCAAAAAACAGACAGATCCAGAACTACTAATGTCCCAGCCATGTGCATCATCATCACACTTTGATTGAAATTAAGAGAACTTAAACCTTTTGTCTTCTTTCTAGAATTATTTCCCATATTCTCCAGTTGTCATCAATGGGATTCATGTATAATTATTTTATTGGGTAGAGTATTTATTTACTTATTCACTATGTTTATAATTTATTTTGTCTTAACCAATAAAGCATGTTTTACACCAGTAAAACATGATCTTCCATTATCATCGTAGCAAAATTACTGAAATGTTGCTAAAAAGGTATTTCTTAGCTCATTTCCATGGACTCAGATTCTGTTTTGAAGAGGGTCAGAAGGCTACTTTTAGCAGGTCAATCAAAATCCTCTGATATAGGAAAACCATACTTCTAGAAATGCCACTTTATAAATCTTGAGACAATTACAACAGAAAAGGAGGTTTGCTTGAAGTTGAGGAAGATATTTAGGGCTGGAAAGAAAAAGAAAGCAATTTAAAGGATGAATTAAATGAAATATAAGAAATTGGTTAGTATGTATAATTAGAATTATTTTATAGCAAAAATACCAGTATATGATGTATAGCAAGAGAGTTAGAATGAAATTGTAATTTTTTTAAGATTAGGTAAGGCCCACATGATCAAAGTTTAGTTGTCTTGATATATTTTTCTATAACTTTTCAGCTGCATAGTTGATCATCAAATGTGTCGCATGTTCCCTTACTGTACACAAATAAAAGTCAGACAATTTAAGAATAAGTTTCTGAAGGTGACAGTAATTCTTTATTGAAAATATACCCCATCTCATGGAGGGCAAAATCTCGGGTTACAGATGTTTCTATAATAGCCATTTAAGTAACCACAAACTAGTAATTTCCTTGTGATTTTTCTAATTGCAGAAGTGATATGTAGACTCCCTCAGGATATGAGTGGATTCCAAAAGGATTTGAACATGAAGAAAGAATATTACTATAGAGAGAGTGTATCTTTGGAATGTGAGGCCGGGTACACTCTAGAAGGCAGTTCTCGGAGCCAGTGCCAGTTTGATAACAGGTGGAATCCTCCTCTGGCCAAATGTGTATCTGGTAAGAGCAACCTGTAGGGGTGGAGCCCCTCCTCAGCATGGGCACTGACTGCTTAGTCATCTGTCTGTTCTGGTGCCCACTGTGATGGGGTGTGATGGTATGTAGGGATGAGGGAGCTAAGAATGTGCTGCTCTCTCAGAATTTGACAAACTGGAATCTTAGTAAAAATCGCTTGAAGTGTGACTGCAGGAGTCTTCTGGCAGACATTCTGAGGGGTATTCCTTGCATAAGAAGACAGGAAAATAACCTTAATCGCCAGAGACCAAGAAATGTGACTGTGATAAAATTAGTAAATTAATTCCTTGTAGTAAACATTTTCTTTACTGAGTTTTACTTTCCCACTCATTCATCTCCTAATGGTAGTCCTAGAATTTCTCCAGGTCCAGTGACCCATTTGTCTCTTCATTCCTTTACAACTTTATCATCTTTGTCTACAAAGTAAAAAAGCATGTTTTTTAGGTCATTTATTTGTTACAGGCTAAGTTTATGAGCAGCCTTTATAAAAGTTGAGTGTTTGTGTTCTTTAGCCTTATTGGTTAATTAACTGATTGATCCATCCACACATTCCTTTCCTCAACACTAGGTGCTAGGCAATAAATCACAAGTCCTGCAAAGGCTCACGACATGAAAGCAGCTCCTTCCTTTCTGTCTTCATGCTTCCCTGCCTGTTCTCTCTCCTCAGGCTCCCCCTGCTCTACCTCATTCTACCACTGCATTTATCCTATGAGTTTCCTTATGGCCTGAGAGCCATGACCGCACATGAGTGGGTGGAGAAGGCCTTTGAGAACTGTTTGCAGAGAGTGCCTTCCACCTCGTAGACAGCTGCAGGCCATGTCTCTCACTCTTGTAGCTGAAGGAGTTTCATTCGATATAGTGAACAGACTCAAAGTTGGAAATTATGTTCTTCTGAGTTCTGTAGGAGAGTCACCCTCTGCTGGCAACTGGAAGGTGTTGTAGCTTGTACATATCAAGGAATAGCTGAGCAGAATTAGCACTGACTAAGGTCTTGGGTTGGAGTGGTAATCGATAGTAGTTTACTTGTCTGTCGTGCCCGAGGCAGTGGGTTCCATCCCTAGAGTGACAACATATTGTAGTAATCAATAACACACCTAAGTGCTAGTATTTCCCTTCCTGCCTGTCTAAGCTCTTATAATACTGGTTATGTACTAAGATTGTTCAAGATCCGTTTTTACATCTAATTCCTTCAGTGTACTTAATATAGTTACCAATAATGTAGATAAATTATAAACTTGACACTTCTGTAGTGTGAAATTTTATGCATGTCTTTGGCAAAAGTTAATGGGTGTACTGAACAGGAGTGTTCGGAGTAGAGTGAAGGTCTGGCAGGGACAGGAAGAAAGGTCAGATATCTGGGGAGACAGCCCTACAGATACTAAGTCAAAACAAAACAAAATATGAAGTAACAACAGCAAACATAAACAAGATCACAATATTGGTGAAATGTTTTTATAAATAAAAAAGAGTCATAAATATAATGAAGACTTCATAAAAGTTATCAAATAATTCAGCTAACATTTCAAGGCAGGTTAGCACATTTTTCTCTTAAATACATACATGATATGATATAGAGTTAATGTTAAATAAATTTTATAATAGTATGTTTATCAAGCAACCTGAGCACAGGAAGAAATGCCTGAGTGGTAAACCATGTGGCTATTGGCAAGCAAAAATCCCTGTTTTGTTTTGTTTTTGGTGTTGTTTTTTTTTTTTACACAGAATATATTCTAATACAGATTTCCTGTCCCTCTTCTGGATCCTCTCCACCTTCCTACCCTTCCAACTCTACACTGTTCTTTTTAAATAACAATCAAGCGGAAAGAACAAATAAAACAAAAAAAGAAACAAAAAAAAACAAAAAAAGCACAAGATGTACATATACAGAGAGATCCATGCCCACACAGAAAACCCATACAACCACAAAGTCAGAAACCAAAACATAAAAAAGGACAAGAAGAGTAAGGATAAGAAATTGCCCAGATTAATCAATATGAGACAAAACAAAACAAAAACTCTTCTAATACCGCCGAGTTTATTCGGAGTTAGCCATGTATTGCTGGGCATAGGGCCTGTCCTTGAGTGTATGTTGTATACTCGGTGAAACTCCACTGGAGAAAACTAATTTTTCACTTGTGAGCTGTTGTCAGTGTCAGATGGCTACTTGGTCAGTGATGAGAGAGCATTTCCACTTCCCTTCCTCAGTGTCGGGGCCCCACCTCGTCTGGCTTAGACCTATGCAGACCCTGTGCCATATACCACACACCATGCACCAGTAACATCTCTGTGGCTTTTCTCTCTTTCAGGCTTAAACATCGGTCTCATAGCTGGTAAGTCCTGTGATGGGTTTACTGGGAAATCCTTTAGCAGTATTTACTTACAATAAATGACCTGTAAAAAGAAGTCAAAACATCTGTTAAGTTCGATTAAAATTAGTGTAAGTTTTGGATAACAGTTCTTAAGCTGTGGGTCATGACCTTTGGGAGCTGACAGATCCTTTCATGAGGGTCACTAAAGGAAAACTTAAGAGATAGTTACATAATGATTCATACTATTAGCAGAATTACAATTATGAAGTAGCAATGAGATTAATTTTATAGTTGGGCTCACCACAACACGAGGAACTGTATTGAAGGGCCACAGCATTAGGAAGGTTGAGAACCACTGGTTAATGGTGTCATGAGATCTGCGTCTTCCTACACACTGAAGGACCTCATCTTTGAATTATCTGAGTGAGTAATCATCCTTTCCTGTCAACAATTCTTTATTTTAATTTGACTGGAGAGGCAACCCCTTCTTTACTTTGTACTCAGAAATAAGTTTCCAGGCGCTCATCCTGACAGTTTGTACTGTTAAAGCCACAAGATCATCATGTGGGTGAGTCTTGTGTGGAGATAAAAGATCTAGAGGCGAAAGGAGTTTGAATTCTTGGCTAATAATTCCAGGGTCTTGGCCATCACTGTGGGGAGTGAGAGTTGCAGGAATCCGAAGCAGATGCTCACATCCACAGTCAAGAACCTTTCTCCATTCTTATACAGTTCATGATCCCTTGCCTGAGAATGCCACCACCTACAGTGTGTGTCTATAGGGCCACTTTAATAAATGTAATTAAGGTATCTCCATGGAGGTGCCCATAGGCCAACAAGAGCTAACTAATTCCTCACTCAGACTCTCTTCTCGAGTAATTCTACACTGTGTCAAGTTGGTCATTTAGCCAACACAAATGGATTTACTTAGTTTGTTGCACAGACTGAGCCCAGCAGCGCCATTCCTACGAAGGGCTGTGTTGTTGGGAAGAGGAAGCTTATAGAATGTTCTGGTCACCCCATAACTAATTCTGTAGGTCTAATATCCTAGTTAAAAAGACAAATAGAGCAGAACCTATGGTAAAGTTACATGGAAAAGAATCATTGATAACCAACAGGATTAGTTATTAAGAAAGAGTTCTAAACTTTTGTGACGTGTTTTTCATTTATTTTCTTTTCCTCTTTAGGAGTTTCTGTTGGGATAATCATCGCAATTTTACTCAGCATTGCTTTCAGTTGGATGATTCTGCAGTGTAAAAGACGGTGAGTATAGCCACATTCTCTAAAAAACTGTAGCAGGAAGCTGTGGTCTATTCCTGTCTCCTAACATTATGGTCGCTTAGACAGGATAGTCATAGTTTGAGGCTTGTCTGAGTCACAGAATAATATACCGTGCCTCAAACAAACAAAGCAAAAATAGTTTTGGGAAGGTGGCTTAGTGGTTATCACACTTACACAGCAAGAATGGCGGCCAAAGTTTGGATCCCTAGAACCTATCTATTGCCAGGTGGACATGGTGGCTTTCCCATAACTCCAGTGCTCAGAAGGTGGAGACAGTCAAGTTCCAGAACACACTGACTAGACAGACTTGCCATATAAGTTGCCATATAAATTGGATTACAGGGACCTTGTTTCAGTGGAATAAAGTGGTAAACCATAGATGAAGACTCCTAAATGTATACTGTCACATATGCAAACATGCATGTGTCTGCATGCATTTACACGTATGCACAGAGAGTGGGGGAGGAGGAGAAAGAGAGAATAAAAGAAAAAAATGAATCTGTAAATTTTATGTTCCTTCTTTTGGAAAGTAAAGTGAATTAAAAGAAAGCAATAGAACATACTGCCATAAAGACAGGTAAATCTCAGGAAAGTGGCCTTGGTTATACAAATTTACACCAAAGGAAATATATATGATAACAGATATTTTAAGTGTGTGTGTGGGGTGGGGGTGGGGGAGTGAATGTGGTGTGTGTGTGTGAGTGTGTATGGTTTGTTGATGCCTAGCTTCTTTTTTTTTTGAAAAATTTTTTTTATTATTATTTTTAATTTATTTTATTAGATGTTTTATTTACATTTCATATGTTGTCCCCTTACCCCATCCCCCACCAACCCAGAAACCCCCAATCCACTCACCCCTCCTCCTTCTTCTCTGTGGATGTAACTTCTATCTACCCCCCCACTCCCACCTCCCAACCTTCAAAATTCCCACCCCCTGGGGCATCTAGCCTTCATGAGGTCAAGGTTCTCTTCTTCCACCTATGCCCAGCAGGGCCCTCCACTCTTACATATTCATCTAAAGCCCTGCATCCCTCCCTAAGTGCTCCCAGGCTGGTGGTTTAGACCCTGGGAGCTGTGGTTGGTTGGTATTGTTGCTCTCCTCATGGGGCCGCAAATCCTTTCAGCTCCTTCAGTCTTCACTCTAACTCCTCCATTGAGAACCCCATGATCAGTTCAATGGCTAGTTGTGAGCATCTGCCTCTGAATATATCAGACTCTTGAAGAACTCTGAGGAGACATCCATATCAGGCTCTTATCAGCATGCACTTCCTGACTTCCACATCAGCATCTACATTGGTGACTGCACATGGGATAGATATTCAAGTGGAATGGTCTTCAGACGGCCCCTCCTTCAGTTTCTGTCCCTCACTTTGTCTCCATATCTGCTCCCTTGAGTATTTTGTTGCTCCTTCTAAGAAGGACCGAGTCACCCCCACTTGGTCTTCCTTCTTCATGAGCTTCATGTGGACTGTGAGTTGCATCTTCTGCATTTCAAGGTTCTGGGCTAATATCCAATAATCAGTGAGTGAATACCATGTGTGTTCTTTTGTGATTGGCTTACCTCACTTAGGATGATAATTTCTAGTTCCATCCATTTACCTGGGAAACTCTCGAATTCATTGTTTTTAATAGCTGAGTAATACTCCATTGTATAAATATACCACATTTTTTGAATCCATTCCTCAGTTGAAGGACATCTGGGTTCTTTCCAGCTCCTGGCTATTGTAAACAAGGCTGCTATGAACATAGTTGAGCATATGTCCTTGTTATATGTCCGAACATCTTCTGGGTATATGCCTAGGAGTGGTATACCTGGATCCTCAGGTAATGCTATGTCCAATTTTCTGAGGAACCGCCACACTGATTTCCAAAGTGGTTGCACCATCTTGCAGTCCCACCAACAATGGAGGAGTGTCCCTCTTTCTCCACACCCTCGACAGCATCTACTATCACCTGAGTTTTTAATCTTAGCCATTCTGACTGGTGTGAGATGGAATCTCAGGGTTGTTTTGATTTGCATTTCCCTGAAGACTAAGGATGCTGAACATTTCTTTAGGTGCTTCTCGGCCATTCGAGTTTCTTCCATTGAAAATTCTTTGTTAAGCTCTATACCCCATTTTTTAATAGGGTAATTTGGTTGTCTGGAGTCTAATTTCTTGAGTTCTTTATATATAGTGGATATTAGCCCTCAATCAGATGAAGGATTGGTAAACATCTTTTCTAAATTTGTTGGTTGTCGTTTTGTCCTACTGACAGTGTCCTTTGCCATACAGAAACTTTGCAATTTTAAGAAGTCCCATTTGTCAATTCTTGATCTTAGAGCATATGCCATTGGAGTTCTGTTCAGGAACTTTTCCCCTGTGCCCAAGTATTCGAGGCTCTTCCCCACCTTCTCTTCTATTAGTTTCAGTGTATCTGGTTTTATGTGGAGGTCCTTTATCCACTTAGACTTGAGCTTTGTACAAGGGGATAAGAATGGATCAATTTTCATTCTTCTACATGTTGTCCTCCAGTTGAACCAGCACCATTTGTTGAAAATGCTATCCTTTTTCCACTGGACAGTTTTAGCTCCTTTGTCAAAGATCAAGTGACCATAGGAGTGTGGGTTCATTTCTGGGTCTTCAATTCTATTCCATTGATCTTCCTGCCTGTGTCTGCACCAATACCAGGTAGTTTTTATCACTATTGCTCTGTAGTACAGCTTGAGGTCAGGGATGGTGATTCCTCCCAAAGTTCTTTTATTGTTGAGAATATTTTTCGCTATCCTGGGTTTTTTGTTATTCCATATGAATTTGAGAATTTCCTTTTCTAACTCTGTGAAGAATTGAGTTGGGATTTTAATGGGGATTGCATTGAATCTGTAGATTGCTTTTGGCAAGATGGCCATTTTTATTATATTAATGCTGCCAATCCATGAGCATGGGAGATCTTTCCATCTTCTGAGATCTTCTTCGATTTCTACTGATTTGTTTGAGTTGATTTTATAACCAGCCACTTTGCTGAAGTTGTTTATCAGGTTTAGGAGTTCTCTGGTGGAAATTTGGGGGTCACTTAAGTATACTATCATATCATCTGCAAATAGCGATATTTTGACTTCTTCCTTTCCTATTTGTATCCCTTTGACTTCTTTTTGTTGTCTAATTGCTCTGGCTAGGACTTCCAGTACTATATTGAATAGGTAGGGGGAGAGTGGGCAGCCTTGTCTAGTCCCTGATCTTAGTGGGATTGCTTCAAGTTTCTCTCCATTTAGCTTGATGTTGGCTACTGGTTTGCTGTAAATTGCTTTTACTATGTTTAGGTAGGGGCCTTGAATTCCTGATCTTTCCAAGACTTTTATCATGAAGGGATGTTGAATTTTGTCAAATGCTTTCTCGGCATCTAGTGAGATGATCATGTGGTTTTTTTCTTTGAGTTTGTTATATAGTGGATTACATTGATGGATTTCCGAATATTGAACCATCCCTGCATTCCTGGGATAAAACCTACTTGATCATGATGGATGATTGTTTTGATCTGGTCTTGGATTCGGTTTGCTAGAATTTTATTGAGTATTTTTGCATAGATGTTCATAAGAGAGATTGATCTGAAGTTCTCTTTCTTTGTCGGGTCCTTGTGGGGTTTGGGTATGAGTGTAATTGTAGCTTCATAGAACAAATTGGGTAGTGTTCCTTCTGCTTCTATTTTGTGGAATAGTTTGAAGAGAATTGGTATTAGGTCTTCCTTGAAGGTCTGATAGAATTCTGCACTAAAACCATCTGGTCCTGGGCTTTTTTTAGTGGGGAGATTTTAATGACTGCTGCTATTTCCTGAGGGGTTATGGGACTATTTAGATGGTTTATCTGCTCCTGGTTTAACTTTGGTACCTGGTAGCTGTCTAGGAAATTGTCCATTTCATCCAGGTTTTCCAGTTTTGTTGAGTATAGGCTTTTGTAGTAGGATCTGATGATTTTTTGAATTTCTTCAGTTTCTGTTGTTATGTCTCCCTTTTCAGTTCTGATTTTATTAATTTGGATACTGTCTCTGTGCCCTCTGGTTAATCTGGCTAACGGTTTATCTATCTTGTTGATTTTCTCAAAGAACCAGCTCCTGGTTTTATTGATATTTTGTATTGTTCTGTTTCCATTTGGTTGATTTCAGCCCTGAGTTTGATTATTTCCTGCCCTCTACTCCTCCTGGGTGTATTTGCTTCTTTTTGTTCTAGAGCTTTTAGTTGGGCAGTCAAGTTGTTAGTGTGTGCTCTTTCCAGTTTCTTCTTGTAGGCACTTAGAGCTATGAGTTTTCCTCTTAGCACTGCCTTCATGGAGTCCCACAAGTTTTGGTATGATGTGTCCTCATTTTCATTGAATTCTAAAAAGTCTTTGATTTCTTTCTTTATTTCTTTCTTGACCATTGAGTAGAGAGTTTCTACTCATTGAGTAGAGAGTTGTTCAGTTTCCATGTGCACGTGGGTTTTCCATTGGGTTTGTCATTTTTAAAGACCAGTCTTAGTCCATGGTGATCTGATAAGATGCAAGAGATTATTTCAATATTTTTGTATCTGTAGAGGGTTGTTTTGTGACCAATTATATGGTCTATTTTGGAGAAGGTACCATGAGGTGCTGAGAAAAAGGTATATTCTTTTGTTTTAGGATGAAATGTTCTATAGATGTCTGTTAAGTCCATTTGGTTCATAACTTCTGTTAATGTCAAAGTGTCTCGGTTTAGTTTCTGTTCCCATGATCTGTCCATTCCTGAGAGTGGGGTGTTGAAATCCCCCACTATTATTGTGTGAGGTGTAATGTGTGTTTTGAGCTTTAGTAAAGTTTCTTTTATGTATGTAGGTGCCCTTGCATTTGGAGCATAGATGTTCAGAATTGAGAGTTTACCTTGGTAGATTTTTCCTTTGATGAGTATGAAGTGTTCTTCCTTATCTTTTTTGATTAATTTTGGATGAAAGTCGATTTTATTTGATATTAGAATGGCTACTCCAGCTTGTTTCTTGG